TTTGCGAACGGCAGGAGGTGCGTGGGGGGGACCGACAGACATCCCCGGGGATAAAATCAGTAACGACGGCCGTGCGCTGTCCTGCGCGCCGGTCCGTCCTACCTGCGGCGAATAAGGCAGCAACAGGTTGCGGAGGTCCCCTCGACCCCCCCGACCCCTCGCCGTTCCTCCTTGAGAACTGGCAGCAGATTAGCCCGGAGCCCCTCTGCGCAGACAAAAGCTGCCACAAAGGGCATTAGGCTTCAGGATTGGATTACCGTGTGGCCACCTGTCATCCCCACTTTGTAAATCTATCTCGCTCTGGGTCCGGTTTTCGCACTGGAGAAGTTTGCACTTAAAAAAAAAAAATACATATAATTCCCGCCCGAGTGCCTCTCCGAACAGCAGCCTGGCAGAGTTTGTTTTAGCATCCCTTCTTATTCCAGGCTTCAGAGCTGCGTGGGGCTGGGGATTAGGGCTGTTTGAATAAAGAGAGCCTTTATTACATTAGTCTAAGTGGTTAATAGGTAAAGTAGGCCAATCCATCTTTAGACTAAGCCTATCACTTCGCCTACGAAGGGTGCAGGCTTCACTGAGGAAATATTCATTAAAGGAAAAGCTTTTCCTCTGTCCCTCTTGACATGTTAATAGCTCAGGGTTAGGGGCTCTGCTCTCTGCCTGCGGAAAATTCATGGCTGTGCTCACGCAGCAACTCCCTCCTCGCTGGGACCCCCGGTGCTGCCGGCAGCTCTGCCGAAGTCAGCAGAGCGGCGCTTAGCCCCGTTGCCGGCGGGGCTCGGTGGGGAGTGAGGGATGCCGGGAGTCCGCTGGCACTCGGAGGCTGCTCCTCATCCTCGCTTTCCTCTTCCAGGCTCAGAAAGTAGGTGCCTCATCCCTTCCCGAGCAGGGTTCGAGTGGCGGGTGAAGGCAGTGCTTCAGTGCTGGGACTCTCTGCTGTGGGGTGTTCTCAAGGCCAAAAGTGGTTATGGGTTTGAAAGGATCAGACAGTTCATAGTCACTAGGAAACGGGATGATTTGGGTGCAGATGCGGGCTCCAGAGGTCTTTGAACTCCAGGTTGCCAGAAGGCAGGAGGCTCACAAGGCAGGAGGGACCGCTTGCCAAGCGTTCCTTGCTACCTTTATTTTCCACTGCAGTACCCGCTACAGCCCTCAGTGGTGTCTTCATCCAGCCCTGTCCCAACTGGTCCAGCAGCTTTTGTCCGAGGGCTCAGCTGAGCTCCCCATTTCCCACAGCCTGATTCCCTTTGTCATCTCCCTTTCCTCTTCCATCGGGACAACGGTGGTAGCTGCACCTCTGCTGATCTTGTCTTGCACCAAACAGCGCTGGCGGAAGCTGCCCAGGTCTCTAATGTGCCTGTGAAGCTTCCATGGAAATGGAGGAACCCACAGCTGCCACGAGCTGCCCCAGGGCTGAACTGTGGACCCACCACTGAGCTGAACATGGGTTTCTGCTGTTACTTTTGCCCAAAGGGGTTCCATCCTGCCCAGCACATGGTGGCTACAGCTTTTCTGACCATTACAGCTCCTCTTTCCCACCTCCTGCAACGGCTGTTATTCAGTGCAGCCCTTGCTGTCTTGGAGCCCCGGGAGAAGATGTGTTCAGAGCTGGAGTCGGGTCCTACTTCCACCAACACATATGTCCAGCGTGTGGTGTTGGAGCTGCAGTGCTATACTTGGGCCAAGTTGCCCTTCTCCAATATTGGTTTGAATGGGAATAAACGCTTCTTGGTGACTTTTCCACCTCTGTGAGTTTAAACCAGCCAACTTACCAGTTCCTCCTGTCCCTGAGGCTCGGTTGTCTCTGGCTGCCAGCATGCCAATCAATGCCGCTACGGGAGATTATGAAAACCATGGGAAAGCTCCTCACAATGGACAGATCCATGCAATAAAACTTTGCTTTCCTGGATGTGGTGCTGTCAGAAGTTCAAACCACATCCATGGGCCACAATATTTGGCTTCACTTGCTGCTGTCTAGCTTTCATGCTGCTACTTTTCAAACAAGGCAGTGTCTGAGACAATCAATCTCAAGGATGTTAGTTTTGGGCTATGCCTGGCACCCGTCTGGGTACAACGAAGGAAGAGAGTGCTGGAGCTAGGCCTGAAAGCTGGTTTTTGTGGATTCAGCTCTCGTTCTTGGGTTGAAGGCTCCATTTTTATCTCTGCTCATCTTAGCCTGTGCTGACCAAGCCAGACAGCAGTAGCAGTGTCAATGATATGCCTTGTCTTGCTTCTCTTGCTGTGACAGGTCACTAGCAAGATGCTCTGTAAATGCCAAAGATTCAGGGCCTCTCAAAAAAACCCAAAACAATTTTTGAGGGTCTAGACCTGAGTGCTCTCAGCTCTGTCAGAAACGACATGTTGGATGTCCTCAGCCACAAACAAAGAGTGTGGGTTCAGGTGCTGACTGGTCTGAAAAGGGACTGACACTGGGCCAGTGGATGCCTCTTAGGCAATTAGTTGATCCTTGCTGTCTTCCACTTCTGCGGTGCACTCCTCTCTGTGTGTTGAAACACTAATTAAGAGCCTGCGTTTCCCAACCAGATCAACTGACTCAGCACCTCCACCCCCAGCAATTTCCTCCTGTTTCATGGCCTGGCCCTACCCAATGCCTCTCTTGTGCAAGGAGGAAAAAATAACCCTTTTTTCATTCCCAGGAGACTGATAAATACTGACTGTAGCAGTCCTGGAGGAGAAGTCAGTCTCAAGGTGCAGGGCCCTGTACAACAAGCAATCTGATGGACCTGGCCTGAAGCCAAAGGACTTCAGTGCAGCGTGGCCATCCTGAGCACGTTTTGGGAAGCAGTCTCCTCTCTAGGCAGGTCCCAGGCCATTAAGGACTTCATGGGTTGAAACCAACCTCTTAAATCAAGCTGAAAAGCAGTTGGTGGCCAGAGCAGGATGTAGAACTCGGATTTAATATGGCCATAAAAAGAGACACCACTTAATGAGTAGACTGTTGAAATCCACATCAGCCCACGATAGATTTAAGAGTTGCTCTCTGAGCGTTATTGACTGTCTCTGTTCTGCGACGGCGTTACACGTTTGCGGAGTTGGCCAAGAAGGTGAAGGATTAGTCAGAGTTTTATTTTGGTTACTCTTTGTTGGCACATGCTGGCTCCTGACTTCCAGAAGCTCTTGCATCCCAGGTGTCTGGTAGACCAGCATGTTTTTGTCTGCATGTGAAACTCTACTTGCATGGCCTTGAAATTGCAGCCCTAGGAGTTGCCACCACCCTTGGGCATGGCTGGGGGTTTCCACAAGCTGATATCCCCTTCCTCCACAGTCCAGCTTGTCCATCACCACTCGTCCAGATCTGGTGTGGGGACCGTTTCCCACCATGGGTCTATGGAGAAGGGGCTTTCTGGGCAGCCCCTGAGCACACCCCACCTGCAGTGCAGGGGTGTAGTCATTGGGTGCCCCTTGCCAGTACAGACATTGCATGAAGTTAGTGCTGGAAGCTGATGAAGTAAAATACCAGGTATGGTGTGAGCTAAACAGTAGTTGCATAAATAGCTACTGACCAACTTGCATAGGCATGTGATGAGTTTTGATTCAATCAGACCTCTCATTCCTGGTTTTCCTATTATTTGGCCTCAGAACAGATGGGTCATTTTTTTTCCCTTGGCTTCTTAATCAGGGCAACCATTGGCTTTAGCACAAATTACCAGTGGCTTTTTTAATTGCAAGAGCCCATGGTGATCTTTGCTGTAGAAGCATAAAAGCAGTGAGGGAGGAGATGGCCATCAGGGAACAAATAGCCTCTGCCTGCAGTGTCATGTGTCTGAGGGAAACGCTGTCTGAGGCTTGCAGATCACACGTTGGCTGGTTATTTCTCTGTGCTGGTTGAATGCTTTGAAAACTTAATCAAGTTTTATAGCTTTAATTTGGTGGCTGACTCTCCTCTTGCCTTTTTTTTTTAACTGTCTCGCAACCTAGAGCAAATAAATCCCATTGGGTTATAAAGGGAAAGAACTGGCAAATGGTCTAGCATATTTAGGCTTGCCTAGTGAATGAGGAAAAAATTACTCTTCCTGCTTCATGCTGCTTCCACCATTTCTGCAAGCTCTCTACTTTTTCCCCCCATGGTTAATTAGAAATAGCCAAGGAATAAGGTGGAATTGCTGAGGGCTTTAGGTTTCAAGAGTGTTTTGTGAGGTCAAACCTCATGAGCTGAGGTTGCTACACCTGCTGTAGCCTGTGTGGCAGTGGAGAGGGGAGGTTGTCCTCGTTGGGTGCTGGACTGGGACGTGCTGAAGATGCCACCGGCAGGTCTTGATGCTCCTTCTAGCGCATATTAGGGAACAAGTCTGCACAGCGATAGGGAACAGTAAAGCAACGGGTGAAGCTGGGTGCAAGAGGACCCCTGCGGTTGGGTAAGGTCCTGCTGTTGACAAGCCAGGCACGTGCCGGGACAAGTTGCACTCTCTCACCTGAATTGAGGAAAGTGTTGTGTGTGGGATGCTAAGGGAAAGCAAGGTTGATGTGCTCCATTGAGCTGCTGCTGTTCTGCTACGCTGTTCCTCTTCATTCCCCCGGGGAAAAAAGAGCCCTGGGCTGGAAAGGGCCTTTCCAGGCTCTCTGGCGTTGTCCAGGACTCATCCTGACCAGTCGGGAGCCAGTGTGGTGTGTGTAGCCCAGAGTGCAGCCCAGATAATCCACTCATGGGTAACTGGGAGATTACTCAGCTGGATTTCTAATACAGTGGCCTTTAATAATAATCCCCTCTTAATCCCTAAATCAATGGCAAATGGATTTGTCTGTATGAGCTAGATGACCTGTGTAGGCATTTTAGGGAGAAAAATTCTTGTGTATCTATGGTTGAGTGTATATATATGTATATATATACATGTATGTAACATATATGTATTGGTAGACTTGGTGGTGTTAGGTTTACGGTTGGACTTGATGTTCATAAATGGCTTTTCCAACCTAAATGATTCTAGATGCGTATTTTTATTCCTGCTACCTGCTGATCTGACCTGTGCGTGTTCTGCCGGCAGGGACCTCATGCCCAGGACCCTGGAGGGGCAGATCACCATGGAGAAGACGCCCAGCTACTTCGTCACCAAGGAGGCCCCAGCCCGCATCTCCTCCATGTCCAAGGGCACAAAGCTCATCGTGGTGGTGCGGGACCCTGTGACCAGAGCCATCTCGGACTACACCCAGACGCTCTCCAAGAAGCCCGATATCCCCACCTTTGAGAGCCTGACCTTCAAAAACAGGACTACGGGCCTGATCGACACCTCGTGGAGCGCCATCCAGATCGGCATCTACGCCAAGCACCTGGAGAACTGGCTCCTCTACTTCCCCATCGGGCAGATCCTCTTCGTCAGTGGGGAGAGGCTGATCAGCGACCCCGCGGGGGAGCTGGGCAGGGTCCAGGACTTTCTGGGCCTCAAGAGGATCATCACCGACAAACACTTCTACTTCAACAAAACCAAGGGGTTCCCGTGCCTGAAGAAGGCGGAAGGCAGCAGCAAACCCCACTGCCTGGGGAAGACGAAAGGCAGGACCCACCCCGACATAGACCAGGAGGTGGTGCAGAGACTGCGGGACTTCTACCGGCCCTTCAACATGAAGTTCTACCAGATGACGGGGCAGGACTTTGGCTGGGACTGAGACTAGTGTGGGAAAGGCCCCTGTAATTACTTGCCCAGCACGGTTTGCGTATATAAAGAGATATATATGTATGTAAAATGTACAGAAATCTATTTTATAATAATTGATGACGGGGCAGGACTTCGGCTGGGACTGAGGCTGAAAAAAATAATTTAAGAAAAGGAAAATATAATATAATATATATTTTTTTTACATATCAGTAGAGGGGGAAAATACAGGAAAAAAATAACAGTTGTGCTGAAACATGATTTGTTCTGATTTTTTTTTCTTTTGACAGTGCTTTGTCTTCTTTCTTCTCTCAGAGATGAGGTGATGTATCCGTCCAGAAAAGGAGGCTGTGAACAACAACCTGGTCCTATCAAACCGCCTGCAGCTTGGCTGCTTCCTTCCATGGGCCCAAGGTTTAGCGCTGCCTCTGTAAAACAAAATGCAGGTGCAGAGTTTTTAGATGTCCTCAGGTCCACCTCCAGAAGGGACAAGGGTGCTTGGGGGAGCTCAGAGCCTTACTGGAAGGTCAGCCAGATTTTGACTTGCAGATACCATTCCATTATAGACCAGACCTCATCACTTTTGTCAATGAAACAAAGGAGGCTTAATATGTAATTTGCCTTTCAAAACCTCACCTTAGGGGATTTTTTTTTTTTAAATTGCATTAAACCTTTGGTGAAATCTTTTTAATTTATCCAATTTTTTGACTTTTGCTCCCCCTAAATCAAGTTCTTTTCATCAACCAAACTTCTTTTTCACCTTACAGAAGCCAAAACCAATAATCCTGTCTTTTGTTTTGAGACAAAACAATTTTGGTAGCCAAAAGTGAAAGAAAACAAATTATTCTTTTGACTCTTACGATGAAAATTGCCAGGTAGTCACAAGGCCTCATTGACGGGAGTTGGCTCTAAACCAGTGTTCCCCACTGCCAGCTACGCGGACCCCTTTCGCTATGCTGACGGCAAAGCACTTTTCCCAGGGGGGCCCATCTGAAGGGATTTGGGTGACGGGCAAGGAAGGTCCACACCGAGATGATGCTCATGGTACACCTGTCCTGAAGGTGATGGGGGACCCGCCATCCCACCACTCGCATGCAGGAACAAGTTCACAGTGTCTGGCGGATGATATTTAAGCCATAATGAAGAATGGTTAAAGTTGGGCCAGTCTTAGAAGAAAAACAGTGGAAAGGGTTGTTTGAGAAAAAATGAACAAGACCCACACCCAGAAAGGGGAGAGAATGAGGAGAAGACAATGGAAGTTTTCTTGTCCTTTCCTAAAGGAGAACTAAGGGGGAAGCAGGTTGTGCAGGGCTTTAAAAGTTGCCAGGCAAAATGAATCTCCTGTTCGCAATAACCAGGAGCTTTAAATTCTTTGCTTTGATCCTTATCACTTGGCTGGTAGAAACGGCTCGGCGATAGAAATCTATTAGTGAAGCAGGATCTTGTATTACTGTGGGCTCATTTATCTGCTGGCTCTTTATCTTCAGCATTTTCTGGACTATACATGCACCTAATTATCGCTTGGTGCTGCATAAGCACAACACGATGATGCTCCCTCTCCCGAGTCTGACTTTAAAAAGGCCCTGATGTGGTAAAACAAACTAAGCGGGGGATCAGCTGGTAATCTGGTTAGGAAGAAGCCTGGGGACCAAGCTCAGTGGCTGCCTGCACACCGGCCAAGATCTTAATCAAATCACAGCAGAGCAGAGATTTCAAGGGGTCCAAAGAGAATTGTATCTGGAATTCCAATTTAACCCAAGAGGGACTCGTTTCCACTGCAGGTGTTGAGCCACATCCCCTCCTGGCTGCCCTGAGCTGCCTCTTTCCTACCCATCCCTCATCCCTACTTGCCTCCCTCCGTTCCCGAGGATGCAGAGTCCTGGGACCTTCCTGTCCCTGGAAGACGCAAACCCACACGGTTTTGCATGCAAGGCCCATTTCCCAAGGCGATTAAAACAACTTCATTAGAGTTGCAAGGCCCCAGGACCTTCTCCCACCACTGCGATCCCAAAGCCCTACCTGAGCTCGGGTTTCCGTGCCCGGCTGGTAGCACAGTGGTGATGGGCTGGTGGCACCACAGCCGGGCCGTGCTCAGTCTGTCCTGGCACAGCACGGCTCGGTGCCACCCTCGCTCCCTTCCCACCGTTCTTGTTCCAGTGTGTCCCATTTTAAGGCTCTTATTGGCAATGTCTTGTGCCATATCTGGGTAAACATTTTACGTAATTGCTTCTGCAAACACAGCAGAAAGGCAGGTGAGGGACCACGCAGACCCCACAGAGCCCTTTCTCTTACTTGCCTCCCTCCAGTCCCTCAATGTTTGTGCAAGAAATGACATGGGAAAATCAGAGATGGTTCATCACACAGTGGAAGCTTTGGCTTCGTGGGGTCACGGTCCCTCCCAGCTTCTCTACAGCTCTTTGCTGGAGCTCAAAGCTCCCAAATCAGTAGAAGTTGGAAGAGTGTTGGGCTCTTGGTAATGGTCTCCCCAAAGTCCCACTGGAGACGAGGGGAGCAATCTGCTCTCTGCCCATGCCAGCCAGATCAAGGGGGAATGGGCCTAAGGTGTAGCCAAAAGGATGGGGGTTAATGATGGGGAAAACCTTTCCAACAGCAAGGCTTGTTGGGGCAGGAATGGGCGATGGCCACCACCCCTCCCGTGCCATGCTCTTCCATCCAAGCGCAAAAGCCGAGCAGGCAGGGAGGACACGGCGTCACCCGCTCATGGGCACAACCAAGCAGTGCCAGCACTACCGCAGCACAAAGTCTGAGCTTCTCCAAGCTGAAAAGAAGATTTAAGCATGCCGTTTCTTTGGTATTTCAAGGAGACTTAAGGTTGGGCTAATCTGTACATGCCTTTGACAAGTATAAATATCACTTAAGAGTATGATTTAAAAAAATCAATATAATTCTATCGCTATTGTCTCTCATACGGTCACATTCAGACTAGTATGAAGGAGCTTTATAGTGCTACAGATTGTTCTTCCCATATTGAACGAGGTACAGAAACATAAAGCACCTTCATACAAATGAGTTTCTACAACTGCCACCAACACCACCCTGTACACTGCCTTCGGTGTGTACACAGGCCTAACTATCATACGTGCCTTTAAAAAACTCTTCCCAGCACACTGAACTCGGCTACATGGGCGTACTTTCCCAAAAATGCTTGAATGTTTTACTTCCACTAATTTCTGAGGGTTTGAATCCCTTGATACACACCTAGTAAAACTATTTGGGGATCTGAGACTGTAATTGATTTTTTTTGATCTGAGCCATAAGTAATTTTGAAAATCCCTCCACGTATGAACAATGCCTTTTAAAAAGAGGTCACGCAATCAAATTGCTTTGAACTGTAATAACATTTAAGCCTCTAAATTCTTTAGGCTTATTTTAAAATCCAGCCATGAAGTTTAGATTATTTTAACCTAAGAAGAATTGGAAGTAAACTATTGGAAACTGCACCCCTCCTGGGCCAGCAATACTGAGCGTGTGTATTAGGAGGGGAAAGCAAAAGTAGCTATAAATAAAAAGGGAAGTGACCTACAGAGTTTGATTTAAAAAAAAAAAAAAAAAGGCAGAAAAATCAATACATTAATGATGAGAAACTAATTAGGTGTATTAAAATTTTTCTTTCAATAATCAAATGTGCCATTAGGCACTGATGAAGCTCGGGCTTGTATGCCGCGCAACGCTTAGATTTTAGAACATTTCTTTCAAGACAAAAAAACCCAACCACCTTTATAAAGCATCCTGTCAACGTCAATCGTCAAATTCATCTTTGGGCAGACGGACGCATCTCCTTCGCCCCCCCATTTGCGGGGTGCCGCTGGGTCACAGGCCGTGGGTCTGCTGAGGGTTCGCACAGCACCCTGCCCAGCCCAGCCCCACCGAAACCACCATGAGCTGTGGTGCAGGGGTGCTGAGCACAAGTATTGCACTTGTTCTGCAAAAATCAGGGTTTTTTCCACTGATGGGGACGTATTTTGGCGCAGGCTTGTAGAGCCCAATTCAGAGAGAGGGCTGAACGCGAGACCTCCCTCTGGCCCACCGCAGCGGCCGCTGCCAGCCAAACCCAAACTGTGGGAAGGCTCTTTGCACCAGCCTTCAACTGGCCACACCTGGAAAATGTCAGAGAACTGGGCTTTGCTGTACCAGTACAGCTTGGCAAGAGCAAACCCGGCCCCGCTGCTGCTGCGATTCGCGTCGCTGTGATTTCTGGGAGGGCAAGGACCGGGCTGCCGTGTCCACGGGGGGCTGATTTTGTGACGTGGGGAATTTAATCAACTCCAAAGGAAATGCTGCCACCCCATAATTTACACAGTTACAAGGAATACAAACACCCATGTGCCACGGAGATCAGTGTGTGAGGCTCCTCTGCGTGGTGTTTGGGGTGGTCTTTGGGGTGCTGCACCACAAAGTTAAATTTCCAGCAATGATTTGGCCATGGCTACCCTGCACCAAGTATTTTGACTAACTAACTAGCAAGTTATTAGCCTCCTCGGTTCTCCCACATACACAATGTCAGGTCTCCAGATCAGGAAAAAAAAATGGCCCATTTTCTTAACCATTAAAAAAATTCTTGTTCGTATAGAAGGGTTTCTGGGTTTTCTCTCCTCCCTCCCCTTTGCTTGGTGATATTGTCATCCTTCTCCCTTTGGTGCTATTCCAGTATGAAACAGACTGATTTTAATTTAATTTAAGAATGAAAAAGCACACATTTAATAAAGTTTACGGGTACTGAGAGGCTGTGCTCTCTTTTTGCTGGCGGCAGCAACCTTGAAAGAGCGGGCAGGTTTATGAAAAAGGGGAAGAGACAGAATTACCCATTTGTGTCTGATTTCAGTCCCCTAAACCTAACACGCTCCACGGCAGCCGGGGGGGCTCTGCCCGCTGTGAACTCCCCAGTGGCCTCGTTGGCACCGTTTCCACGACCTCTTACCTTCCACTTCACGATTCTCCAGCTAGCTTAATGTCATACTCCTTGCTTTAGACTGCAAAAACCCCTGAGAAGTCAGGTCTTCCCACCATTCTCCCCTTCGCCGTCGCTGGCCCTGCCACGTCCACAGCGTCTCGCCACCGAATTTGATGAATTCCTGCTTTCACCCAACCTGGTCGGAGAGGAACGGACCCAACTCACGATGCATTGCGTGAAACCCGAGGTGGAAGCAACTCACCAAGAAATATATACAGCAGAGCAGCCCCCGTATATCAGGTTTTCTGTGTGGTCAAGTAAAGTGATATTCTATTTACTTTTTTAGATG